CTTGGGATTCTTTGTATTTCTTGGGTCTGGATGTCTGAGTGCCTCTCTAAACTTGGAAAGTTTTCTTCCAGAATTTTGTGGAATAGATCATCAATGCCCTTATTAGTTCCTTCACCTTCTGGGATACCAATTATTCAAATGTTTAGGTGTTTCATGGTATCTATTATTTCTCATATATTTTCCTCAGTTTTCTTGGCTATTTTCTCGGTATTTTTGATAATTTTTTTCTAGGTCAGAAGTTTTGCCTTCTACTTCAAGATTTGATCTTCTGCATGGTCTAACCTGCTTTTAATACTTTTGAGGGACATTTTGACTTCCTGTATTACATCCTTCTTAACTAACAGTTCTGTTTGACTATTTTTTTATGGTGTCTAATTCTTCTTTTATATTGTGGAAGAACTTCCTCATCTCTTAGAGCTCAATGTCTCTTTTCTCTTGCATCTCACAGAGTTTTGTTAGCATAAATATTCTAAATTCTTTTTCTGACATTTTGGTTATATCCTCTAATTTTTCCCTCTTTGGAGACAAGTTTCAGTGCTCCCTTGCTGGAGATCTGTTATTTGATTCTCTTATCCTTAAGGATCTTCTCTGATTTCTAGTCATTTGGTAATATATTTGCTTTTGGAGAAGGGATTGTGGCATGGCCACTCCCCCAGAGAGTGATTTCTCACTTTCTGTCTCTCTGTCTTCCTGACAGGTGCACACACTCTAGAGCAAAAAATCTCTCTCTAAAAATAAATAAACAAATAAATGGAAAAAGAGGGCAAGATCATGTGTTAGCTATGAGCTCTCCTCTTCATTTTTTTTTTAATTTTTAAAGTTTATTTTCCTTATTTCTTTCATAGGCAAGAGAGAGAGGGTTGTGTTAAGTTTCCACTCTCTTGTATCATCACAATAGCAACCAAATTTCAACACAAAATGTTTTTTAGAGGGTGTGCATATTTAAGTCATAAAAAATGCATAGCCTATCAGACAGAATCATGAAGAAATAGAAATCATAGAAACTGTGAACAAATCAATAAGTAAAGAAATTTAGTCAATAAACAAAATTTCTCTACAAAGAAAAGTCCATCACCAGATGGCTTCACTTATGAATTCTAACAAACATGTAAAGAAGAATTAATACCTCTTCTTCTCGAATTCTTCCAAAAAAAAAATTGAAGACAAGAAAACATTTTGTTCTAGTTGCCATCTTGTGTCCAGTGTGTGTGTGTGTGTGCGCCTAATCTCAGCTGGTCTACCTGAGACCTCCTGAGTGCCAACCCTAGGCCCCCGTGTGGCCCCTATTCTGCTCCAACAAGATGAAAGAAACTATCATAAACCAGGAAAAACTTGCAAAACTGTAGGCACAAGTACACATTGATGGGAAAGGAACTGCTCGCAGAAAGAAGGTGGTTCATAGAACAGCTACAACAGATGATAAAAAACTTCAGTTCTCCTTAAAGACACTAGGGGTAAATAATATCTCTGGAATTGATGAGGTGAATATGTTTACAAACCAGAGAACAGTGATGCACTTTAACAACCCTAAAGTGCAGGCATCTCTGGCAGCAAATACTTTCCCCATTACATGTCATGCTGAGACAAAGCAGCTGATGGAAATGCTATCCAGCATCTTAAACCAGCTTGGGGCAGACAGTCTGACTAGTTTAAGTAGACTGGCTGAAGCTCTGCCCAGACAATCTGTGGATGGAAAACAACTGCTTTCTACTGGAGAGGATGATGATGGTGAAGTTTCAGATCCTGTAGAGAATTTTGATGAGGCTTCCAAGAATAAGGCAAGCTGAATTGAGTCAACTTCTGAAAGGGATAAAACTTGACGAAGTTACTGGGAGCTGCTATTTTATATTATGACTGCTTTTTAAAATTCTGTTTTGTTTATGGATATGATCAAATCTAGATCTCTAATATTTTTAAGCCTAAGCCCTTGGACACTGCAGCTCTTTTCAGTTTTTGCTTATACACAGTTCATTCTTTGCAGCTAATTAAGCTGAAGAAGCCTGGGAATAAAGTTTAGAACAAAGATTAATAGAACTCTTTGCCTAGTAAAAAGAAAGGAAGGAAGGGAGGGAGGGAGGGAGGGAGGAAGGTAGGAAGGAATCATTTTAAACTAATTTTATAAGGCAAGCATTATTCTGATACCAAAGCCAGGCAAGGGCACTACAAAAAAAATAAAATTATGGGCCACTATTCCAGATGTAAATAAATTCAAAAATCCTAAACAAGATACTAGTAAACCAAATTCAACAACACATTAGCAGGATCATTCACTGTTATCAAGTAAGATTTAACCCTGGAATGCAAAGATGGTTCAACATATACATTAACAGAATGAAGGGTGATTACCATATGATCTTCTCAATAGATATATAGATAAAACAGTTGACAAAAAGCAACATCTGTTCATGATTTAAACAACTCTCAACAAACTAAGTATAGAAAGAATGTACTTCAATGTAATAAAGGCCATATGTGAAAACCCACATCTAACATCATACTCAATGTAACTGCTGTTGTTTCTTTTTCTTTTTTCATATGAGAGAGAGAGAGAAGGAGATGGGATGGACTTTTTTTTTAAACAGGTCTCACCCCGTCATGATTTTATGCACCAGCCTCCCAGTTAGTCACACACTAACACACCTGACCTGTTCAAGTCAGTCTGGAAACCAAACCTGAGCCTCCTCTGTGGCCCCAGCCTCATATAGTGATATCTACTACTTGTGCCTCCAAGGCTGGCCCTCCCTCTTGCTTATATTCAGCTTACTATTGGAAGTCCTATCCAGAGCAATTAGATGAGGAAAAAGAAAAAAAATTACATCTGTTTGTGGATAATGTGATCTTATATAGAGAAAACCCTAATGATTCCACCAAAAAACTGCTAAAACTAATCAATCAATTCAGTAAAGTTCAGGATAAGATGTCAACATACAAAATTTGTTGCACTTCTATATTCCAGCAATGATCTGCCCAAAAAGCATATTAAGGAAAAAAATTCCATTTTCAGTAAGACCAAAGTGTAGAATAATTAGGTTAAAAGACTTGTACACTGAGAACTATAAAACATTGAGTAAAAGAATAAAGAAGATGGAACCTGCAGATGGCCTAATGGTTACATCACAGGACTCCTACACAGTGGACCACAGTTCTAGTCCTGTATCCGGTAGCTTAAAACTCATGCCAGGCATGTGTGTGTGTTTGTGCCTGAGATCCCAAGGTAAGAATGGAGAAGGGATTGCAGCATGGCCATCCTCCCTGAAGGGTGATTTCTTGAGTTTAGCAAGCACATGCACTCTGTGGCAAAAATCTCTCTTAAAAAAAAAAAAAAAAAAAGAACACACAAAAATTGGAAAGACATCCTGTTTCTGTGGGTTGAAAAAAATTGTGTTGTTCAAATGTCCATATTCCTCACAGTAATCTACAGATTCAGTGATATGTCCATTAAAATCCCAATGGTGTTTCTTACAGAAAATAAAAAATTTCAATCCCGAAGTCCATATGTAACTGTAGAAAAACCCAGAATAGACAAAACAAATTTAAGAAAGACAAACAAAGACATCACACTTCCTCATTTCAAAATATATTATAAATTAATATACTTAAAAGTAATATAAACATAATTATATGTACAGTAATTAAAATAGTGTGACATTGGCATAAAGATAGACATGTAGACAAGTGAAATAAAATTGAAAGCTGGAATTAAGTCCATATGTGGTCAGCTGATCTTTAACAAAGATGCAAAAGTCCACAATGGGGAAAAGACATTCTCTTCAATAAATGGTATTAACCATTCATTAAGACTTAATAACCACAACTAGAAGAATAAAATTAGATTGCTATACCATATATAAACTAAATTCAAAATGGAAGACTAGCAGATGACATAATAGTTATGTCATGGGACTACCACATAGTTGACTGCAGCTTGGGTTCCAGGCCCAGCAGCTTAAAACTTACACTAGGCGAATGTGCATGTGTGCCCAGAATCCCAAAAGGAGAATAGGGGAGAAGGGTTTGTGGCTTGGTCATCCCTCTGAGGATGATTTCTCACTTTCTGTCTCTCTATCTATCTCTCCAGTGAGCGCACATGTCCCATAGCAAACAAACAAACAAAAAACTCTAAAAAATAATAAATACATAAATTTGAAATAGATTAAAGACATAAATGAAAGACCTGCAACTATAAAACTACTAGAAGTAAAAGTGTCTTTATACTAGATTGGGCAATGATTTCTTTGGTATGACACCAAAAACACAGCCAACAAAAGCAAAAATAAACAAGTGTTTATAAACTGTTAATAAAAGATTTCTGCATAGCAAATAAAACAGTCAACAGTAGAGAAAACAATCAACCTATGGGTTGGGAGGAAATATTTGTAAACAGCGAATCTGATAATGGTTCATTTCCAAAATATATAATAAATTTAATAGAAAAAAAAAGATTTAAAAATTAGCAGAGAACTTGAATAGACATTTCTCCAAAGAAGACATACAGATGGTTAACAAATATATGAAAAGATGCTCAACATCACTAATGATCAGGGAAATGCAAACCAAACTACAGTGAGATATCACCTCTCACAATTTAGGATGACTATATATATATAAAAAAAAAAAGATGAGTGTTGGTGAGGATGGGGAAAAACTGAAACCTTTTATACTGTTGGTGGGAATGTAAATGGTGCAGCCACTATGGGAAACTGTATGGAAGTTCCTCAAAACTTAAAAGTAGAATTACCATATGATTGAGCAATCCCATTTATAGGTATACATCGAAAAGAACTGAAATCAGTTTCTCAAAAAGATATCTGTGCTCCATGTTCATTGCAGCAGTAGCCAAACTATAAAAACAACCTGAATGTCCATCAACATAGCCTGATTAAAAAATTCTCCACTAGCAGCCAACATCCCAGCCTGGTCTACAGAGGAGCATCCTTCATATCACCTCTCTCTCTCTCTCTCTCTCTCTCTCTCTCACTCTCTCTCTCTCTCTCTTTCAGAACAAGAGAGATATCTGCAAGCCAACAACAGAACGTTCAACACTATTTTTGGATATCCTGTGAGTATTATACCTCTAGCTAGTTCAGAAGAGGGTTGGTATTTTCCAGCAATCTTACCCTTTGTTGGAGAAGCAGGACATTAATTGTAGATATAGATCCTACAACACAGATTCTATATTCTTTCAAATTTCCATACAATGAATGAAGCAGTGCAAGCTTAGACTCCAGAAGTAATCCAGTCACCTAAGCTCAGGAGAGAATAGTCTCAAATTTTGGGTTTATATGTTACTTCTAGAAAAAAACATATAGCTTTTTCTTGTATATATGAAAATATAATTACACAATTATTTCTTCACTTAGATATCTATCTGTTGGATTGCTGTAAAAGTCATGACATATTTTTCTATGCAAAAATGTGTCATGACTTTTCCAGTGACCTAATATGACAATACATATTGCCTCATCAATTTAATAGAGACAGTGTTTTCTATTATATGGATAAATCTTTATTTAACCAGTCTCCTATAATTTTAAAGTGACTCCAGTGTTTTACTATGATAAGTGGTCCTGAACAAACACTTTTATACATGTATTTTGGCATATTTGTGTGAATCTATCCTATGAGAGTTTCCTAGAAGCAAAATGGCTAGACCCATAGGAAAGAAAACACATTAACAATTGTGATACATATTGCCAAACTGTTCTAGAAAGAAGTATACTCATTTCTATTTCTACCTATAATAGAGACTTCCATTTTTCCATATTTTTGCCACACTAGATATTTTTTAATTATTTATTTTATTTTATTTTATTTATTGTTAATTTGACTAGAGAGAGAGGGAAGTTGAGAAAAAAAGTCACTGGATCCAGGAGTCAAACCACAGTCGGCCATGTGGGAGTCCAGTGCCTTTAACCACTATGTCACCTGCCAGCCTCCACACTGGTTATTATCAATCTTTTTCATCCTTGCCAGGCTCTTAAGTGAAAAGTGACATTTAATTTTCTTCACTTAATTTTGAGTGAGACTGATAATCTTATTATGTTAATTAGCCTTTCATATTTCTTTTTCTAGAAACTACCTATTAATCATCTTTGCCCATTTTCTATGGACTGTTCATTTTTCACTTTTTTATTTATTCATGAATAAATAATTCATAAAAAGATATATGTTGAGGAGGTAACAGTTGGCCTGGAGATTAAGGCACTGGATCTCCCAAGGCTGACTATGATTCAAGTCCTGGACTAGCAACTTGAACTATCACACCAGGTGAGTGTGTGTGAATGCCCAAAATCTCACAAGGAGATTGAAGGAGAAGGGATTGCATCGTGGCCATCCTCCCTGGTGGGTAATTTCTCACTTTCTCTCTCTCTGGAGAATGTACACACCCTATAGCAAAACTGAAAAAAAAAAAAAAGATATATGTTGAGCTTGGTGGAGCAGACAGTAGCCTACTAATCTACATTGCTGAAAGCCACATGGTCAACTGTGGTTTGAATTCTGAGGCTAGGGATGTTTACCCAAGATCCTGCCTAGCTGGAGGGCTCAGGGAAATGGATCATAGTGTGAGAAAAGCCTGTTAAGGATTTCTGTCAATCTGTCTGTCTCTCTCTTGCACATGCACATATGCACATACATGCTTTCTCATAAAAAAAATATATATGTGTATGTGTATATATATGTGTGTATATACACACATGTATGTGAATAATATATACACATGTGTGTATAATATATACACACACGTGTGTAGTATATACACGCACACGTGTGTATAATATATACACACATGTATGTGTACATTTCTCTCCATCACACATATGCTCCCTCTGGCAAATAAAAAAAAAGAAAAATTGCATTGCTTGTAGTTGTAGAAGATTGAAAACAATCTAAATGTCCATTTATAATTAACTGGCTAAATAAACTATGCTAAATCTTCAGAGGAAATACAATATAGTTTTTAAAAAAGAAAAGGAAGAAAAACTATTATGAAATTATATTATGAAAACATCTTTAAAATGTATATATATGTGTGTGTGTGTGTGTGTATACATATATATATGCAGTAGGGCTCATGCACTTGACAGAGAGAGAGGGAAAGTGAGAAATCACCTCCAGCATGGATGGGCATGATGCAAGCCCTTCTCCTCCATTCTCATCTTGGGAGTTTGGGCATGCATGCACACCACTGCTGGGTCTGGGACTTGAACCTCATAGTCAGCCATGTTGATCCAGCTGCCTCAACCTCCACACTACCTGCTGGCCCAAATATATATATTTATATTTCCACATTTTTGCACTATTCTGAATTTTAACAATACATTTTAAAGATGTTTTCATAATATAATTTCATAATAGCTTTTCCTCCTTTCCTTTTTTAAAAACTATGTTGTATTTCCTCTGAAGATTTAGCATAGTTTATTTAGCTAGTTAATTATAAATGGACATTTAGGTTGTTTTCAATCTTCTACAACTACTAGCAATGCAATTCTTTTTTTTTTTTTTTTAATTTGCCAGAGGGAGCATATGTGTGATGGAGAGAGATGGAAAGAGAGGGAAAGAATACAAGAAAGCACCCCCCGCCCCCAGGGAGCATGGTCATGCTGCAGTCCCTTCTCCTTTTGGTATTTTGGGCATGCACGCACATGTACTCAACATATTTTTCAAGGCACGAGTCTGTTACTTGAACTCCATGGATAGCCATGTGGGATCCAGTTGCTTCAACCACCATGCTGTAGGCTGGCCTACAAACAATGCTTTTATGCAGATCTTAGTTCGTGCATGTGCAGCTATATATACACACATATATATACTTACATGTATATATATGTGTGTATATATAGTATAGAAGTGTGTGTGTGTACATACATATATATACATACATATACATATATATATATGTGTGTGTGTGTGTGTATATATATATATATATATATGTTTATAGTCTCCAAGGGATCTCAGTTTATGATTTCTGAGAAACATGATTCTAGATAATAACAGTGTTCAGGGTCTGACCATGGAAGCAGGTCCCCCAACCCTCCATCTTTTGGACCTGAATAAGAATTAGTAAAGTACAGTAAAACTAGATTTGGCGTCTGACAGACCTGAGTTTGAATACGGCTCTGCCATTTTCCAACCTTAAAACTTTAGGCAGGTTGTTTAACTTCTCTAATCATCAGATCTTTCATCTGTAAAACAGGAATAATAATGGTCACCTTGTATGGTAGCCATTGGTGTTAAGCATGCTCATGAAAATGTTAGTTCTCTTTTTTCAAAAAACTATTACCTTTTTGGGGAACCAGCAGGTGGCATGGTAGGTAAGGCGCTGGACACTCCCACATGGCCAACTGCAGTTCGAATACCAGACCCGGTGGCTTGCTTTCTTACTTGCCCTCTGTCTTTGTGTATCTCTCTCTGGTCAAATTAAAATAAATGAATGAATAAAGAAAATTAAATAAATAATAATTTTTTAAAAACCATTACCTTTTGGGAAAAAAATGCTATCATTCCTTTATAGTCATAGTCCTTATCACAATGTTTGGCACATACTTGGTACCCAGTAAATATACCCTGAGTATTTAATAAATAAATAAACAAACAGATTTGACTAGATTTGACTGATTCTTACGTACCTGACAACCATCTCATTTCCCGGACACTGCTCATTGCCTATTTTCTTGGTAGTTACCTAATTTCACCTACTCTGACTCCTTTTCTTCTTTCAAACTCTAAACTAATGCTTCTCATTATATCTTTAATGGTCCTCTTCTTCCCCCAGTTTAGCCTTCAGTTAGGTATCACTATCCAAAGAAATGAATAACCCAAACCAAAATTCACTGCCTTCTAGACCTAGACATAAGAAATTCAGAGTTTCTTTTTATTAAAGAAAAATATTTTGGTGCTACAATAATATATACTCGGGACTTGGCACTTACAGATCATTCCACTAAACTCTGTTCAAGACAGACCTATTAGCTTTACTAGGATAGATCCTATCTAATTCCTTTTCAGCCTCTACTAATGTAGCCAAGCACATGTCTATGATCAGAGCAAAGACTTGAGAAATGCTATACTGTCCAATTGATTGTGAATTGGAAAATCATTCAGAAACACCCAGGAAATCTAGTTTTAACTTTAATCTCTAAACTCTTAACTGCTAAGCTATTTGACCAACTTATCTTTCCTAAGAAAATAGACCTTAGACAAGCGTGGTTTGTTAGGTAGCCTATCTAATTTCCTGGGTGTGGATCCAGGATTTGAATTTTAGCCTTTGAAATAAATGGTTTTAATTTTCCAAGAGAAGGACAAAAGCAGGTCCCACCTATATTCTCTCTGTTTGATCAGTTTCTGTACTCCAAACCGGCAGGTATGCTTATTCTTGTGTCTTGGCCTTATAAGTGGAGGCAATGGGGGAGAAGCCTGTCTTTAGGGAATTATTTGATATTACTATTGTGCTTTTTCTTGAGCTCTTAGATTCAGCCTCTGACATCTTAGGACAAACAATTGAAGATCCTAAATCAGAAAATCAGATGATCCTATCAGCCTCTTAAGAATCAAGATTAAGGAGGCAGACAAATTCTCATTTCTCATTTGGCAAAGTAAAACTTAGGTGTATGCCAAAACCTGTTAGATTCTCTTAGGACAATTAGGGTCCAAGTGGCTCTCTAATGGTGACAGCAACCAGCATAGGAACCTTCAGTGGACTAAGGTTCAAAGATGGTTCTTAGCATTTAGCATCTGACATCCTTCCACCCTGAAAGCAGCATGTAAAGGCACACCAAACCAAGTTTGCTAGGTTAAGAAAGCTTCATTAGAGAGCTCTGCAGTAGAGCTAACATGAGTGATAAACTTGCCATGATTCAGGGCTGAGGAGGACCTTAGGGGCCAGAGGGTAAGATAAACCTGAATGATTCCTGATTATAAGAAAAGAATATAGGCCAAGAAAGCATCAAGACACCTCCACCTCTGACTGTGTCGGCCCCCTGGGTTCAGCTTCATGGCTGTGAAGTGCCCCCCCACACACACACAGCTAGGGTCCCCTCCTTCCAGACTCCAGTGTTA